ACTATTTTTGTTGACCTTTGTCCATGGAAGGTCCCTGCAAAATTTCATTGAAATTGGTTCAGGGGTTTTGGAGAAGAAGTCGAAAATGTAAATTGTTTACGGACGCACGACGGACGACGGACGACGACGGACAAAAGGCGATCGCAATAGGTCACTTGAGACTTTGTCTCAGGTGACCTAATAAAAACTTAACATAAAAGAAAATGATATAAAGTATCAAAAATACACCTATCTTTTTCATAAAATACCATAACCCGTACTCCAGATATTGGTAAGTAAATGTATATACAAAAATATTAAATATTTCATAACAAAAAGCAAAGAAAAATTCAACAAAGTTCACCACATCAATTTAACCCAATTTAGCTATTTCCATTTCGCAAGAACAATATATAAAAAAAAAACGCAATGCCACACAAAGTCCATTATAAACAACGCATTTCCCCCCTCCCTAACGTCACGATTAAACACACTGTCCTATCCTTCCATTAGGTCCAGGAAGTCGTCGTCGCCTGTCTCGATGGCGACTTCCTCCCTTGAGGCCCCCCATCCTCTGGCTGTTGTGGTGGTGATCGGGCGTCCCTCCCGGATTCAAAAACATACTAACTCATCTCAGCACTGGTGCACAGAAGATGAGTCAACCCTAGCATGGCCAGCTGCGGCAGCCACTCGCCTCCGGCGACTCTCCTTCTCCCGAAAGGCTGCCAACCTCCCAGCAACTGGCCTTACCGGGATCAATTGAACATATCTCCTGGCGGAATGTACCGGACATTCTTCGACACTACTCCCTCTACCGCCTTGACCGCCTCCTCTGCACTTGACTGGTGACGTATCACATAATGTCGTCCAAGCTGCTGCCGGTAAATGTGCTTGTAGGAGGTGTCTCTCCCTCCATTGGTCCTTCATGTGTTTCTACGATGTGTATACTTTCAAACTGCGGGTACATTCCGGTACTGGACAAGGCATGCCACCATCTCTCCAATGCTCCCTCACATCCTCGTCCAGGGCATCCCGCTCCTTTCGGTCCACCGCTAACTCTAGGACGTCCATGTTATTATATTCTAAAAAAATGAGATTAAACAATATTATTTATTTTGGAATGCCTATAGCTACTGTGGTGTAAATATTATTCTTGGTCTAACCACCCTCCCTGCCCTCGTTCTAACTGGTGTGTTTAACATCTCCTCCTCCCCTGCTTCGTCCCTCTCCTCCCTACCCATCCCCTGATCGAAATCACACTCCCCTCCTTCATCTAAGGACCCGCTATCCCCACCCGATGGTCCAGCTGATCCACCAGCCTCTGACCAACTTAATGGCACTGCCTCCCCCAGTAGGGTTTGATATGATCCACATGTACTGTAACTGGCCGATATTGGGGGGTCTTCTGTATTTCATATGTCACCTCAGATAATTTCCTCATTACCTTAATATAAGGCCCCGACCACCCCATGCCAAGTTTGTTACCGAGAGCTGGAGGATACCACCGCCAAACATATGCTCCTATATCGTACCTCCTAGCCTTCAGTCCCTGATCAAAATAATTTTTCTGGCGAGCTGCTGCTACCCCTAAATTTTCCCTAGCTAACCCAAATGCCTCCCTCATGGTTTGTTGGAGCCAGTCCACATACAAATTGTGACAGCAGACTTCCGCTCCACCCACGGGACCCCCTACCATGACATCTAACGGGAGATTTATCTCCCTGCCCAACATGAGAATTAAGATTGGGGCTACATCCCGTACTGACATGTGGAGTGGATCTATACGCAGTGAGAACATAGGGAAGGTGATCGTCCCAGTCATTAAGGTTATCGTTGACGTACATGGACAGCATCTGAATCAGGGTTCTATTTAGCCTTTCCACAAGACCACCGGACTGGGGTCGATATGGGTCGTTCTAGTTTTTTCAATTCCCAGCTTTTCACAAACTAGCCCAAACAGTTCACTTTCAAATTCTCGTCCCCTATCAGAATGTAACTGTTTTGGAATGCCGAATCTACTGAAAAACTCTGTACATAATTTGTCAGCAACAGTTAGGGCCGTATGCTCCTTAACCACGTACGCCTCTGCCCATTTAGTAAAATAATCACTGACTACAATAATGCATACATTCCCATTCCCTGTTTCCCGGTGTCATGCATAAAAAGTACCCCCCTACCAAAAAGTATCCGGATACTTTTTATACCTGTATAAAATGTACCCCCCCTGCATAAAAAGTACCCCCCCTTGTGAAAAAAAATATATTCATCTATTTTCAAACCAATTAAGTTCAGGACTTCAACAGGACATTACAGGGGAATATTTATCCACCCCTACCCCACCAATCCCCACCTCTGGGGCCAGGAAATTATGCCAAAATTATTTTTAATCACTGGACAAAATAAGGATTGGGGAGTCATGTAAAAACATTTACAGTTATGTTATAGTCATTACCCAACCTAT